TACCTAGCAAGTGTGAAGCTCCAAGTTCAAATTCCAGTGCTGCCAAAAAAAATTATGTGCCACTAGACACCCTACCTGCTATAGAAGATAAATAGCCCTGTAATCTCCTTCCTTCTGTCGTGACTTTGAGAAACTCACAACCAGTCAAGGAAATTTAGAGCACTTCGGATGTAGCACATATAGGTATTCATTTCAAACAATGTGAATGGAGATGTTGTGAGGAATTTCAAGGGAGAGATCTGAATTGTATGAGGTTAATTAAAAGAAAGAAAATAATGACTTCTATATAAAGAAGTCATGCTTTAATGTTAACACATGGGTTATCTTGCACACAGGGGAAGACAAAGTCTTCTACAAGAGAAAGTTCTCTAATGCAAACTTCAGGACTTTAATGTTATAATCTGGAGCTCAAGGAAACAAGGAATCTCCATGACTGAAACTTCATTGTTCTAAAAGTTTTATTTGCTTCAAAGTTTTTAGTATTACACACTTACTTTTTTTTTAATAAACTTTGATGCTTGTTACCCCACTATTTGAAGTCATCATGTCTTCTGAGTTTAGAAGCTGGAAAATGATAACTATAAAAAAATTTAACAAGAACAACACAACTCTTATATTTCCAGTACTTCTTAAACCCAAGATAAAGTCTTCTTTCTAATTTTGTTCTAAAAAGCTTTTGACAGTATATCTTAAAAATAATAACAAACTGAATTCAATTACTTCAAGATGTAAATTTCCAAAGTTGTTTTCCATTTAGTTGCTCAATAAACATGTTGTCAATTTACAAGTTACATTTTGTTTCATTTTTTGTAAACTAAATTAATAGTGAAACAGTACATAATTTGTGTTGTTTAAATAGCTATTCATCTATTCAAATAACTGTGGAATTTTTAATATATAAAACTATACACAGAGAAGCATATATACACATACACCGTAGATATTAGTTCATTTACTTATTGAAAAATTGATTTCCCCCCAAAATACACTTATTTTGTCACAGAGATGACAAGAAACAAAATGTGTAATATATAAAAGGTGCATAGGTAACAAATTTTAACTTTTAAACGTTACTGAAAATACTTTAGTGGCATATATCTATTTGGGATATTTTCAGGAGAAAAAAATATGATATAAAAACATAAAATCATGCTTTAATTCACAAACATTCATAACAACCAGACAGGATTGGCAAAATGGTGCTACTCTACATGATTCTATTTCTACAGTAAAAAAAAAAAAACAGCATGTATTTCATCTCATTAGACAACCGCAGGCGTTTGTTAATGTTTATAACTTAATATAAGCATCTGCATCCCAAATCACAGAATATATTGTTCAAAGTTAAATTCACCTACCATAGTGGAAAATACACTATGTACCATATACTCTTTAATGCTTTCTTATTATATTTTTCATTTGACTCACAGAATAATTGCATGTGGTATGTAAATATTCCTTTTATTATGATATTATATCAATATATTTAATATTTCTATATATTTTCTTTCTTCTTTTAAATATTTTTGAGACAGTGACTTGCCGTGTAACCAAGGCTGGCCTTGAACTCCCTGTGTAACTCAGGCTGACCTCAAACTCATGAACCTACCTCTATCTCCAAAAGTGCTGGAATTCAGGCATGCCCTTTTTTTTTATTGCATATAGTGATTAGTATGAAACACTTAAATTCTGAGACCCTAAGTGTTTTATAACAAAATATTTTCTTCCAGACTACCTTCTATACTGAAAACTCCTGAGTATACTGATACTATATATCAAAATCACCCAATATTTTCTCTTAAGAATCTAGTTTTTTATACCTGAGTAGTATTCAATTGCACGGATATAGTTCATTTTCATAATTGATTTTGTGAATGACAGTGTTGTGACTATTGCAGATCTCCCTCTCTCTTTCTGTGTGTGCATGTGTGTGTGTTTGTGTGTACAAATACTTTTGTCTTTCTTGGTGAATTGTACATAAAATTGCTAGGTTACATGGTAGCTTCTTGTTCAACATTATGAGAAATAACTTTGGAAAAATCTTCGACCTCTGTATTCTCATAAAATATAGTGTGGTTTCTTTGATTTGAGTTATTGCAATAGATCTCTTATTAAATTTTTCATTTGCATTACTTGATGACTAATGATTTCCTAAACCTTTATTTGCTATTCAAATATCTTTTACGAAGTTTCTATTCAAATGTTTTGCCACTCATTCATAGGATGTGTAAGAATTTTGTTTTTACATATTCTGGATCCCAATCTTTTTCCCAGATTTATATACTATGAACTTTTAAAAAAATGTTACTCAAATATTCATTTTCTTACTGGTGTCTTTTTACAACCATAAACTGAATTTTCTTGAAGTCTAATTTCTGTTTTTCTCTTTTGTTATTAATGCTTTTTGAGATCTTTCTAAGAAATCCTTGCCCACTCCAAGGCTATGAAACATTTTTCTTGTATTCTAGAAGTTTTATATCAGACTTGCAATCATGTCAGATTATTTTTATGTATAGATTATTTATAATGATCACTTGTTTTGTTAACATTTATTTAAAACTTCACACTGGAGCCATGGCTTAAGCAGTAGACGGCCTGCTTTGCAAGCATGAAGCCCTGAGTTCAAACCCCAGTCTCAGCAAAAAATAAAAATTGAAAAACTGAATTAAAAAGATTTTATTTCATGGTGTGAATTGTCTGATCCAGTCTGATCTTTCTTACATTCCTACATTCTAAGTTTTACAAACATAATCTAAAAATAATATAAGCAATACATGATAAAAAGTAAACAGAACTAATTTTTAGACATAAAGCAGTAGTTTCAATCTTTAATTGGCAAGATGAAATAACCATTCAAATCATTCAGCGCTGAAGCTCATGTTTTCAGTCGTCATTATTTAAATCTAAGTAACTTAACATATTCCAAAGTGTACAGGGTGTTACATTAAAAGTTCTTCAAATTATAAACCAGTCTTTAAATCTAATGCTAGAAAAAACACAGACAAAAAGAATATAATACAAAACACAAAACACAGCACCCCACAGTACAACACAGGTTAATTCTGAGTGAGTAATCATTAGCAGGCCAGGCAAGAAGAAAGGATGGAAGGGAAATGTAGCTAACACCTTCTTTAAGTAGAAGAAAAATGCATTTGAAATCCATCATGAGACTTTCATTAGTAAAATGTTTCTGGAGTAGCAGCTGGATGTAAATTCCTTTTTTGCCATTTAACAATTTGTGCAATTGGAGAATTTACTTAAACTCTCCCACACTTACTTTTCTCCTTTATTTAAATAAATGTAATAATTCTTCTTAAGGATATTGTGGGAATTGAGTCTGATCATCTTTATAAAAATGCTTAGTCAAGAGCTAGACTAAGTCCTCAATAGATGTTCACTATTTAATTTCCTAATTATACCAAAATCCCTTTGCTTTCATTATCTTATGTGAGTTTGAGTTGTATACATTGCACACTGGAGAAGAAAGTAGCACATACCACCAAATAACTTATTCCCTCCCCTAGTTTATTTTTCTAGTTTTAGACTTTAAGAACTTAATTGTTGACATCTTATATGGCTGAGGGGAGGATCTAAATATATGCAAGAGAAGCATCCTAAATGGAGCATTGGGACTTATGGTTTTTTTTATTTTTATTTTTAATGTTACTGAATTCCTAATATCTTGATCCTTTAGATCTTTGCTACTCAATGTGATTCATAAACCAAGGTCAATGTTATCATCAGTTAGCTTATTACAAACTTGGACCTACCAAATCACAACCTCCATTACAGCAAAATCCACAAGTGATTTAAATGTATGCACATAAAAGTTTAAGAAGCATGGCATTAGACTGTATCAACTAAGCTATTACCCTTTGAAAATTTAGAAAAATATGATTTAAACTTTGAATAAGATCTTACAGCATGCATTCTAACTCTGGCTCACTTAGACATAAGTTAGACTGCTATGAAAAACACTAAGTTGGGGATAAAACATACATTAAAAATATTGATTGTTTCAAGATTTGTGTGAAAGTTAATCTCTGTTTTAAGTAAGAAACTAGTCGGTACTTCCCATAATCCATGGGATTGTTTAAAGATTCATGAGAAATGGCCCATTACTAGTAATCAAGCTCTATATACATATAAGATATGATTACAGTTTGAGTATGCTTGCTCTGAAAATTTCAAATCTGAAATGTTCCAGAAACCAAAACTATGCAAGCATGGACATGTTATCATGGGCTGAAAATTCTACACCTGGCCTAATGTGATGGATATCAGTCAAAAACATAGGTACATTGAAACTATTGTATAAAATTATTTTCAGGCTATATATATTAATATACATTTAACACGAATTAATTTTGTGCTTACTTTGGGTCCCATCCCAAGAAATTTTATTGTATTTATGCAAATATTCTAAAATTTGAAAATTATCTGACATCTGAATCATTTCTTATTGTAAGCATTTTGGGTAAGTTATACTCAACCTGTATTATCTATGAGTTTATGAGTGAACAATGGCCAGGATTTATAAAGAGAAACTGACCATTAATAGATTATACGTAAGAGCTCCATGGAAAGCAAACAAGATCAAATCCTCAGAGTTTGATTACTGCTTATTTCCTTTTGTTACTTTATAGCAGAAACAGAGTGAGCTCAGTATAGAGTGTCCTAAAACAAAGGATAGTTTGGAATAACTTCAACCTTTTATTGTTTTGTGACTGATTTGTGTTGACGTCACTTGTATGGTCCAATAAATTGCTTTCTAATTAGTCTGTGATAGAAAAATGACCCGTAACAACATGAAACAATTGAAAAAGATGAATTTTACTCAGCATTTGCCTTCATTTTTTTCCCAGGAGTCCTTGTCAATAATTGAACTAAAATCTTAGGACATGATAATATATGCCATGGATTTTACATAGCAGTTAGGAAATTGTGAGGGATGTCTTCATGGAAGCCAAGCATGCAAATTGTGGTTCTTTCTTTTACAGATAAAAAGACTTGTGGACCTCATGAATTCCAGTGTAAAAACAACAACTGTATTCCAGATCACTGGCGGTGTGATAGCCAGAATGACTGTAGTGATAATTCTGATGAAGAAAATTGTAGTAAGTAACTCTTGCCTAATAATCTTGCAAGCTTGACAGCCCATCCAATAGGCAAGATGGCAATTTTTATTTAGTTAAGATAAAATTTGAACCTATCTGTCCTGCAGCTCACATTTTTATACATATATTCATATTTGGACAAGAATATTCAGACTAAATTGACCTGAATCTCAAAGGGTAGAATTATTGAAATGTTCATCCTGGGAGTTATTTTCTTCCAGTTCTCAGACTTGGTATGAAAGTATCATGAGGTTTAATGCAGCCCATTAGTATGCAATGAAGGAAGTCCTTGATGCAAGTTCATACAATGAGATGAATGGTGTGGAGACAGTACAAAACATCTCATTCTTTAACGGATGGTATTCATTTCATTTCAGTCTCACATCCTTTTACACTAAAAATTCACCCAAGAGTATCTTTCAGTGAATTATCATTTATTCTCTCTGGAGTGGTGAACACCATATGTATTCAGGATGTTTTTGTCTGAAAATACAATAACACCAATATCATGTGCCTCCTGCATTTTCATGTAATGAATTTGGAGCCAACAATTATGCAACAATTTTATTTTCTAAAATAAAGTATACACTATGTAAAATTGTGACAATATATCAATGTTTTAGCATTAAATTCTGAGCAGATTTCTTATCAGCACTATTATACATTGCAGTATGAACAAAGGAATCAATATTATCATACTTAAAATAAAATAATCAAATCACATTTATTAAATATTTATATTTTGTTACTTCCTAAAAGGATTGATGCAAATTAATAAGAACATCTGCTCATATAGATATCTCATTGTACTAGGAGTATTCATTTCTCTGGAGGCGAAGGACAAAATCTACATATGCATTATATTAAGGTACATAATTGGTAGAATGAAAGCCTTAATAAACTGCTTGAATATTCAGCTTAGAAAACATGAACTAATGTTTGAGTAACTTTCAGAAATTAATCTGACCTGTGTTTGAAAATCAGCTACACTAAGTGTAACACCTCTAGCTCATTTTGAGTATAGAATACTATGAATATGGGAACCTTTATAACTATCTCTCTACATCAACATCTCCCAACTAAACAGAGTTTCTGAAAAGTAGAAAGCATTGCAGGGAACCATTACAGTGTTTTGGATTTCCGTAATAAGCAATTAAAAAAATTATGTAGCAGGTTCTTAGATTTTTCCAGTGATTAATGTATAAATTCGATGGAGTTAAAGTGGTAGTGATAGAAGGATAAGTCCCTGAAGAGAAATAATCATATATATATTTTGTTATTTGTATACCAAAGATTACATTTACATATATCTCCTTAGCCTAGGCTTGATATACTTAGTGTTATCAATTCACCTGAGAGCAAATGCTCTATGACTGAAGGATATTCAAAGCAACAGAGGGTGGAGGAGAAAAATATTGGAGATGTACTCATGATGAACCTCAGTTCAAGTGAGTAGTTGCAACTATGCAGGAATTTAAAATTGTGCTATAATAAATAAAGAACGAGACGAATGAAAAATTGAGATAGTCACCTGGGAGTCTGGAAGGGTTTCCTAAGTGACTGAGCATCATTGTGCTCTCATCTAAAAGCCAACCTTTGGAATAAGAAAGTAAGGAGAAAGAATGCTTGCTCTCACCTGTCACTCTAGCTGCTGATAAATCACAGAGCCCTTAAGAAAAAGCAAGGGAATACCAACATTGCAATATGAAATAGCCAATTATTTATGGTTCTTTTTTAGTTTCTATTCATTCTGAGACTGGTGCCTCATACAAGATTGATGAAGTTGCAGAGGGGAGAAGACAGGAGGAAAGAATGGACTATATTATAGTTGTAATAAGGAAGAGTAAAAGGAATATGCAGGGTGACTATGAGTATGCTAACATGTGAAACATGTACAAGTGTAAAAGCATGTTAAAACAAGTGCCAAATTCTATCAGCATATTTAATATGGAAAAGAATGTAAGAGTAACAATCAAATGATATAGACTGTTTAGATGCCTTTGAAGTTCTGACATTTGAAGATGCTGTCCTGAGTAAGCCAGAAGAAATAGAAAGGTTTAAGCCATGCCAATATCAGTAGTTCTCAAGGACAAAAACTGTCAGTGAAGAATGAATGATCACTAAGATATCAGTAATATAGGAAGCCAGATATAGAAAAAATTTTCTATTTTAAAATGCAATCATATTTCCAGTTCCGTAATTGTTAAAGCTATATATATATATATATATATATATACATATACATATATATATATTTGGATAGCAATGTGAATATGTAGTTATATGTAGATATATAACTCTGAATTTTATATGTTTACATATATGTATAATGTTATATTTCATATTTAATATTATTGGTTAAAATATGTACTATGCTTTACAGTTATTATTAGCTATTACTAAGGTGAAAAGCATACAAGATACAGTAAATCAAACTTATGTTTAAAAACCAATGGCTACATATTTTTAAAGTCACTTTTGGACTTCTTGTTTATGAATCTGATTTAATGAATTTTCTTTTTAAATTATGTTGGAAAAACTCTGCAATAAATATAGAGCATTGACTGGCATCTATGTTTTAAATTTAATATGCGTCATCATTTGATCAGCATCTGCTGGTCATTTCCCTCATTAAGTGTTCAACAAGAATATTGCTTCAGTGATAATTTTTGCTCTTAAAAACAAACAGTATAGATAAGAGTTAGACATAGACTAGCTACCTCATTTCTTGATGAAATTTGTGTATCCTTAAATATAATAATTTGTGATTATTATTCAGAAGTAAATTTGCTGATATATTTTTCAAGATTTAAGAAACACACATTATTTCCATTCTTATTGAATAGTGTATTCCCAAAAATTGGCACAGACTCTCTACATTTACATTAAAACAAAATAATTAATAATGTTAGGACAAAGACTCTAAAGAACAAGTTCTCTGTGGAAGTTTAGGGTAAATGCTTCCAACAACTGACATATACAGTTTTATAAACTTACATCAACAATTTCCAATTTTCCATAAAACAAAATGTGCCAAAACCTGTGAAACTATTACTGTTTAGTACCTGATGAACGGATTTTCTTTTAAGTAAAATAAAGGCAAGTTACAGCATTAGAGAAAGAATTAATCCCATTCAGATATTTCTAAAACCCACAAAATGATACTTTTAAGGATTTTTAAGTATGTTATATTTTAAATTTAGTCTTTTTATCTTTGAATGAGAATCTTTTTTGGGTCATATTTTCTATTATTAAATATGTTATACATATTTCACTATGATTCCTTTTCCTTAGGAATAGAATTATGTGTGTCTACAAAGACAAAGACTGAAGTAGCTTCACTATGGAGTGATGATAAAAGAAAAAGAGATTTCTCATTATAATTAAAAAATAGATATTGCTAGATACATGCCTTAGAATAGTAATTTGTCTTGTCATGTGATTAATGCTAATCTCTATAATACGTGGATACTGATTACTTCCTCAATTGTATGAATGGTAATGACATATCTTAGTAGTAAAACCTGCAGGCTCGGTACCAAGTTGCTTTGGTTCAAGTTTAATACTATCTCTTCTGCATGCTGGTTGACTTGGAATAAATGTATTGTCCTGTTTGTGCCTCAATTTACTCACTTACAAATACAATAATAACTTATTGAGTTGTTATGAAAATTCACTGATGAGTTAATTCAAGTACTTTGCAATAGTTTCACCTTGTGCCTAATAATACATAGGCCGTTAGTAGTTGGTATTTATTATGGTTATAATTGATAGTATTGGCATGAACAAAGATATTTTTAAGATTAGACCATAATATATGTGAATACATTATAAAGACAAAAAGGAGAATTGCTACCATTGCAGTCATTAAATAAAATAGTATAAAGATATGAAAGAGACAATTTCATAGCTTTATTCCCATCCTATTGAATAACGTTTTTATTCATAGCTTGAAATTCGTATTTTAAAACAAAATAAATCCCAGAGTAGAAAAAAATGCTCTCTAATATATAATATACTCTACACATTTCTACATGCATGCTCAAAGTTATATTTAATAAAACTGCAGGGGTCTTTGTGATACTAATCCAGGTGTTAACCAATAGCCAAAAACTGAGCAGATTATACAATACAATATCCAAATGTAGACAGAATTGTTCATAGTATTTAATTAGGATTCATTTCTTAAATTTAATGACTGTTATCTATTTCTCCTTCACCTGAATAAGGATATTACTGTGTGTCACACAACTGTGTGCAATTACTGATTAAAGAAAACTAGAAGGGGTCATCTTTCCTCATGAAAGACACCAGTCTAACCAAGAGATGATGTCTGGCAGTCGTACTGATTGCTTGAAGGACCAAATTTCTGCACTTCTACCTCATTGTCTAGTTTAAGCATATTCTACATAGGAGTTAAGCCAAGTACTAAGCCATAGTATTTGGCTATGTTCTGCATAGAAAATGATGAGGCATAATTAAATCAATAGCTAGGAAGTAGTCTAAATTGACAATGAATGATATAGGGCAAAAGAAAACAATACCATAAGTAACAGGCAGCTTTCAAAGAAAAACAGTTTGCTTTAGACTTTTTAACTCCCCAAGTGCCATTGTTTATCTTATGAGCTCTGTATTTTTCTGGTGACAAAAGTGAATAATTTAAAAATCATTATTATGCATAATAAAAGTCAAGAATCAAAGTTTAAGTCACTCCTCAGTTAATAAACAAGCTTGAAGGTACAGAGAGTCACATGCCTTTTTAAAGTAAATACATTGAATGACTTAAAATTCCAACAAAAAAAGGTCATTATTTTAGTATTTCAACATGAAGATTTTGTCTTTTTATTGACTTTGCCACCTTATTTTATTAAACAATAGGTTATTTATCTTTTGTCCTTTTTACAATGTTTTTGTAATGATACTTTCTATTCATTACATTAAAGCAAACTTGAAAAATCATTACATAATACCATGGATACTTCATGACACTTTTCCCCAAAAGAATCCATTGATTCTGCTTAGATAACATCTTCCTTTTTCTTAAATACTTCCTCCTGTTGCATGTCATTTAAATATCAGAATGAAGTCACATATAATAGACTAACCTTTTGCTATTTTTCTATCCCCAGAACCACAGACCTGTACACTGAAAGATTTTCTCTGTGCCAATGGTGACTGTGTTTCTTCAAGGTTCTGGTGTGATGGAGATTTTGACTGTGCAGATGGTTCTGATGAGGTAAGCATCTCTGCAAGCTCAATCAAAAAAGAAGTGGGTCTTTAGAACTACATTTAAACTTTTCATTCTTCAGTTCAATAAGTGTGACCAACGACAGTTCTAAAATGTACTTTGCTCCTGACACAGTGAGATAAGTATTAATCCATGTGCTGAGCTGCACACACCAGCATAGGGAATAACTCTTGTGCTGCTATTGGCAGTTAATTTTTTAGTCGGTTTTACCTCAACTGGTAAATGGCTGAGTTGGGAATAGGATGTTTGGAAACCCTATTCCCTATAGCTGATGCCCTTCCTCTCTGTGAATTTGTTCATAAATTTGCTGCAGTATTTATAGTCAGGACTAATATTTTTATGCATTTTTAAACAGTTTCTTCTCCCTAGTCTCTTTCTCCAATAGATATAGTCTTATAGACTTCAGGGTGGATCATCAATTTTCCTGAAACCACAGGTTAAGTTTTTCTTAGGTGATGAATCACAATTCATTTATATAAGATCTATGCATAGATAGTAGCTTATGAGAAAAGGTTCAGAATTTCTTTGGATAATTCTTTACATTTGGTTTGTGCTAATATGTATGTGCTTATGTTTCAGATAATTATTCCATGATGCTTTAAAAGTAATAAATGACACTTGGTTATATTTTTGTCTATCAAATCTAAAATGACTCCAAGTGCTTTCTTTCCAATATCAGGAAGAAATCCAGTAATAGTCACTTTTAAAGACCCTCTTTGTTTAATTACATATCAGTAACACAGGGATTTCACAAATAAGCCCTAGGAAAAAGGAGGCTTTCAGTCAACCTTGGATACCACTGCTTCTTCAAGTATACAATGCCTCTAGAGCTCTGCTGCTCTGATTAACAAATACAACTACTCAATCTCTCATAAAGGTCATTTCAGTAAAAGTAAGCTTCAGATGATCTTCCCTGCAACTCTGAAGTTTTCTGTCCAGGTCCCACTTCCCCAGGCATTCACCAATTCCCTACCTCTTCAAGAAACATAGCATATCTCTACCGCCCATAGAATCCACAAAAGCTAAGTTTTTCTCAGTGCTTAGACATTCTTAACAGATTGAACCTTTAGAGTTCCATTCTCTCACTATTGGGAAAAAGCTCTCCTAATCACATTCAGGAACCTAGAGTTTAGAAACAAATGTGTGACTTCTCACTTGAAGGCCAACCAAACCAATTCTCAAGGATGCAAAAGTTTCTCAAGAAAAGAAGTTGAAAAATAGCACCCATGGACTGTTCACAAAAGTCAAAAATATTTTGAAGAACTATTTTAAATAATAAAAAATATTTCTAAGATATTTTAAAGAAATCCATAAGTGATATGGATACATATATAAAACATAAGTGATACAAATGTATATGTACATATATATGGTATATATTCCAGGCACATATTTACTTGGTATGCATCCATGTTTAATGTTTCATAAAAATTATATTAAACATTTCCAATTTGGGAAAACATACTTCATGTAAACTCAACCATGCCATGGAAATATTTGTTTTTCTTTTTGCCTTTTTAATGTGTTCCAGTAGCCAGTATAAACTATGAAACTTGCTTAAAGCTTGTGATTTTGTCTTTATGTTATTACTAGATATGCAAGATCCATATGCTAAATCAAATACATAACTGACTACATGTTTGAGAGGGATAAACTATTGAAACTATCTTACAAGTGAATGCTGTGTCTTTTCTTACTCTCTAGTCATCTTTTTTTTTTAATTGTTGTGTTAGGTAGGGGTATATTGTGGCATTTACAAAGGTTCTTAAAATATAGCAAATATATCTTATTTGAATTGATGCCCCCACACACAAACTATTCTCCGTTATCCTTCCCTTTCCCCCATTCCTGGAATAGTTTCAAAAGGTATCATTTTTTTCTATTTATATAAATGTGTGCACTGTATTTGTACCATATTCACCCTCCTACACCTTTTTCCCACCTTTTCCTTGCTCCCATTGGTATCAACCTCTCCCACATGGGACCTGTTCTGCCCTCCTGTTTTCTGATTTTGTGAAAGGAAAAAAAATGACATTTTAGCTTGTTTAAGATAATTACATGGGGAGTTTCCTTGAATATATGTATTATAACCTGATTTGGTTCATCTCCTCCATTTTTCTTTTTTCTACCTTAATCTCTTTCTTACAGTTGTTTCAATCCATTTAAAAATTCTATATTCATTCTTGTATGGAGAGTACATTAACCATATTCACTTTAACTTTCTTCTTTTACCATCACCCTCTCATATGTGACCTCCCCTTAGTGTGACCTGTTTTTCATAATACTGCTGTTTGTATTAGGTCTTTATTTGACATATGAAAGAAAACATGTGGCTTTTGGCTTTCTGAACCTGGATAACTTCACTTACAGTGATGTTCTCCAGTTCCAATCCATTTACCACAAACAACAAAATTTCATTCTTCTTTGTGGATAAATAAAATGCCATTATATATAATACCACATTGTCTTAATCCATTCATCAGTAGTGGGGCATCTTGGCTGCTTCCAAAACTTGGTTATCATAAACAGTACTGCAATCAACATGGTGTGCAAGTGATTCTATCATATCCTGAAGCACATTCCTTTGGCTGTATGCCTCGGTGTGGTATCACTGAATTGTATGGTAATTATGTGTGATTTTTTGAGGAACCTCTATATACCTTTCCATAGGGGTTACACTAATTTACATTCCAGCCAACCATTTTAACTTTTAAATTGTTCATTTCCACATTCTCACCAGTATTTGTTGCTTTTTTTGCTATCGATGACAGCCATTTTCCCTTGGATGAGGTGGAATCTTTTTTATGGCCAAGGATGTTGAACATTTTTTTGGATGTTTTTTGGCCATTTGTACTTCTTCTTTTGAGAATTGTCTGTTCAGTTCATTTACCCATTTATTCAGTGAGTTGTTGATTCTTCGAAAGGTTAGTTTTTTACCTTTCTGCATATTCTTATTATTAACCCTTTGTCAGATGTGTAGCTGGCAAAGATATTCTGTCATTGTTTTTAAGTGACTAAAATAATAATGAAATACCTATACATATATACATATACACAATGTCACTTTACAATTTATTGCACAATGAAATCTTCAGATATTAAGAATGATATCTTAAAGTGCCACTTTTTATATTATTTTCTAAAGATAATAGATACATCAGTGCCATTGCTTATCAAAGTATTTTGCATAAATAAGACTAAGATGACCATTCTTCAAATGTTTGCTGAGTTATTATAATCATAGCATGCTATTAATTTGTTCATGAACAAATATGATCCTTATACCACTTGAGCTTAATTATAAACTAAATCCACATTAAAACAAAATAAAAAACCAACAAGCCAATATTCTTAGTGAGTATAGACACAAAAATTCTCAATAAAATACTAACAAATTGAATCCAATAACAAATTTGAAAGATTTTTCATCATGGTCAATTTGGATTCATTCCATGGATGCCAAAATAGTTCAATATAAGCAAATCAATAAACATGATACATTATATCAACTGAATGACAAAAACAATATGATCTTTTCAATAGATGTAAAAAAGGCATTTAATAAAATTCAATATTCCTTTATAATTAAAGCACTGAACAAATTAGGTATGAAAGGAACATACTTGAATTTAATAAAGTCTATAATAATGTAATAATTAACATTATATGGCATAGACAAAAACTGAAAGCTTTCTCTTGAAGACCTTGAGCAAGAAAAGCTTACTCACTTTTGCTGCTTTCATTCAACACAGTTTCAGATTTCTTATTCAGAGCAATTGGGCAAGAGAAATAAAAAAAAAGGGATATTTAAATTGGAAAAGAAGTCAAATTGTCACTGTTTGGTGATGACATGATTATGTATGGGAAAAAATGAAAATTGACAATATGTCTTATTAGAAATGTGGTTTAGAGATTGGTCTATAAGTTTATCAAATCCGCAAAGTAAATCTTGGTTTTCTTTTTATTGTTATTTGTCAAGTTCATTGTAAATAGTAAATCTTAATATTTGGAAGATGAAGGGAAGAAAAAAATCAACTGTATAGCAGGCAGTCTAATTCAATAACCATTGGCAAAAATGAAGTTAAGGAATCTTAGAATGTAAGTTCTTCCTTACCTGAGGATGAAACTGGGAAGAAATAGTACATAGTAGTTCAACATGTTTTCCTCCTCAGGTATTTCACAAGCTGCAAAAGCACTGTACTATTTGTAGGAGGAGCAGCAAGTACACTTTGGAACAAATAGAAATTACTTTACAAGTGAAAAAATACCATTTTGGAAAGACTTTCCAATGGAGAGTCCCATTTCAGACAATATTTAGGACTGGAGAGGGTAGATTTCTAGTGTATCATTCTCATTTATCTTTTATAAAGAGCTGAAAAATCCCAGAAGGTAAACCTGCTTTCTTGTTGACCTCCAAGTAAAATCTGTTTGCGGGCATGCAGAAATGACAATTGTGGCAGCTCATTTCACAGATTTTTAAGAAAAATGTCAGAAGAGAGAAGGCAATTTTGAACAACAAACTATTAAAGGAATTGGACAGAAGAAAAGAAATAAGAAAAAGAAAGAGAATACTAGACAATCATGCCAATAGGAAACAGATTTGCCTTGGGAATCTTGTGGTTTTACATTCCATCTTCCACTCCATCCTAGCCTCTGTGAAACGAGTATTCTTGCTTAGGAATAATTGTCAATTCTTTGATTTCCCCACACTCTTCATTATCACCTACAATCATCAAAATTCCATCACATCATTGCTGTCTGTTGAAGCATGATCCACTCATAGTGGATATGATTACAACATGGAATTTAGGTATGTTTTGTTATGACTGACAGACACAAATGGAAGGGGAAAATTGTTATAACTATGATATGTAGTCACAGGATGAAAATATGACCATATGAGCTACTTGTTTCAAGTAAACATGGATTCTATCTTTCTAAAGTTTCTATGTGTATGTGTCCTAGTTGTCATTTGGGTTTGTAGGAATTTTATAAAATAATTTAATTTTAATTATGTTGGTGTTGTATTTGACAGAGAAATTGTGAAACAAGTTGTTCCAAAGATCAGTTCCAGTGTTCCAATGGTCAGTGTATATCAGCAAAATGGAAATGTGATGGTCATGAAGATTGTAAATATGGGGAAGATGAGAAAAACTGTGAGCCAGGTAAAATGATGGAGTTGTATTTAACTTAAATGACATTTTAACTGATAGAATTTAAATTTCAGCAACAGTGTAAAACACATGCACTTAAAAATAAGAAAGAATCTAAAGTAACTCTGGATATATTGATTGGTATACCCTTCATATGGTTTGAAAGTGCCTTGGCAGATAAGATCAGTACTCAGTGTGTAGGATGTAAGCATTATTCATCCCAATTTCATTTTCTACTTTCTATATCGTATTTCACCATTCAAAATTGTTTTCCCAAATAGCAAAATGAAATATGTTTAAACTGTCAGTATGATAAAAGTCAAATTTTCTCATAGAAATTGTTTATAAAACAAACAGAAGTAGTTTATACATGCCAGAAGAAGCCCAAGTGGATTATTTATATTTACCTCTTAGAACAAAATCAAAACAAAATAAGGAAATAAAGCAAGAGCATACATATATAAGGACATTTGATTTACACATTTCTATTCATTAAATATGGCTCTATACCTATGTCCATTAAAACATTTGATATTTTATTTTGATATTTTAATTATATTACCTAAGAGACAAAAAACTACTTAGGAAAGCTATACTATAATCTGTGTATAATGATGGAAACATTGCTGTGAGAGATTTAGCTAAAGTATCAGGTATATAAGGCCCAGTACCATATCTATGATCCATTATTTCTAACTGATCACATCTTTCTTACTGAATCCAAACTTAGACTTTTTATGAGTATAGATTCTTTAGGAAACACTGCCAATGCCAATTAAAAGGTATTAAAGCTCAAGGAAGAAATTTTGTAACATTCTTGGTAATATAATTCATATTACAAATACATCATACAAGTACTTTTGGGCTTGTAATACTCTAATATAAGGCCAGAACCTCAGAGAGTTGACCGCAAACCAACAAAACATAAGACCACAGGTGAAGGCAGTTGTCATAATTTATGCTAACTAATAGAAATAGTAGTAATAATAACCAATAGCTAATTAATTGTAATTAATAGATAATTAGAACTAGAGTAATAGTAATTAATATTCTATGAACAAATTCTATAGGTTCTGTTAGCTATACATGTATTCATCTGTAAAACCTCAAAATGATAACCATCTTGAAAACTTATACACTACTTCATTTATGTCAACAAAGTTAAATAGATACCACTGGAATTGGGATTGTGCCAAGATTTTCCCTTTTTGCTTGAACAATGCACATACGAATTGACACCCCTAAGGATTACTTAATAGTTTTATAGTTTTGAAAATAGTTTGAGACTTTTGGTTCCTCAAGTAATTAAAAATTGTACAAAAGTCATTTAACTCTTCAAAGTTGAAGGTATGGAAAATATTAAGGTTGGCCCCATTTCTTTTGTCTAATGAGCTAAATCCTAATGCATAGGATATTACATCATTGAAGTATATTTAATACAATATAATGATATTGTAAAGCACATTTCAAATAAGCCCTTAATATCAGCTTTTGAATATAGTTTAAATGCTGTAAACTATTCTCATTACCATCCAGAAATTCATATTTCCATATGCTTACATATGTTTTTTTAATCTCCCAAACTAGTTATTCTTTTTGTTTTATCTAAATCTTAACTCTATAATTGTATTCAGCTTCTCCTGCTTGCTCCGCAAGTGAATATATATGTGCCAGCAGAGGATGTATTTCAGCATCTTTAAAATGTAATGGAGAATATGATTGTGCTGATGGCTCCGATGAGGTAATATCTATCATTTGATTAAAATCTTTGAATTGCATGAACTAAGATTCAGAAAACAAATGTAATGAAAATAAAAAGAAAGAAACTTAATTCTCAGCACTGTCTAAAATGTCAGACAAATACAATAAATGCAATCATCTCTGCAAATACCTGAATCTTTAAGTTGTCTGGCCATTGTCATTTGTGGAGGTTATATTGATTAAGTCAAAATAAAAGGAACCCCACTGTGTGATAAATCTCCAGTATTAGAAGCTGCACGTTTAGTTTTCCTTTGATGGTATCATTATCATTAATGAAAACTGCAGTACCCTTTTTTTTTTAACAGATGGACTGTGTGAATGAATGTAAGGAAGATCAGTTTCGATGTAAAAATAAAGCTTACTGTATACCAAGGAGATGGCTGTGTGATGGAATTCATGATTGTGTAGATGGCAGTGATGAAGAGAACTGTGACAGAGGTGTGTACCCATAAATGGGAGGATGGAAGTGAAGGTGCTGGGCAGAATGCATAGCATATGCTAGAGGCAGAAGATTAAACAAGTCTTTTTACTTTTTCTAGTTCCCTTGCATGATAACTTGTTCTAAGTAAAGAAAATCTAGAGGATTTTCTAACAGAATATAATCCCCAAATGTACATGAAAAACTCCACCTAACTGCAAGTGTTCATTGATTACCTAGTTGGAAGATAACTTCAGGTTTGATGCTGAGTCAATGACAATGACTTGTGAAGAACACAGATAGCATAGTCACCAAGACCATTACTAAAAGTGTTTTCTCAATTCTGCATGTGCTTCTCTTCCACATTGCTTACCTTACTCTGGAGAACAGGAAGAATGTATTTATGGCATACCAGATTGCACACATTCATTTACTATATGATATATAAGCTATAAGTTATGTTCCCAGATTTCCTTCTAATGTATTGTTGAGAAATGTCCTACTTTTTGTTGGTCTGGAAGGCAATTTTCAATTTTGTCATATTATTTTCCATCTCTGTGAAGACCATTTTATGTCATACAACAATTTTTAGTTGTAAATCATCATATTAAAAGCAGTGATTGTTACTATTTGGAGTAACTGGAAATTAATGAAAGTAAAGAAAATGTATGCTGAAGCTTAAAATGATCACATTTTGCACATTTATTTTCAAATTGTTAAATTGTTCCTTAAATATGAAACTTCTTGTGACTTGCTTATAAATTTTCTAGAAAGACTTTACTTTTCCAAATGTATGGAATATTATCAACAGAGATGAAACTAGATATTCCACATGATGCAAGGCATTGAAAATGCTTTCAGGGTATGCAGTTTAATGTATCTAAAATAATTACTTCTGCAACTACACAGTAATTGAAGAAAAAAGTATCTTCTACTTTTTTAATATTAGATCAGGTGCTTATAATTACATAATATCTCTAACCCAAACTTGACAGTGTTATTTTCAGAAGAAATTTTAGTTTCTTTCAGAATCTGCAGTGCATTATAGAGAAAAATAAAAGATTCAATGTAAATAATAGCTGTTTGCATAAATTTTCATACTCACTTTCTGTAGTAAGTCCTTCTAGAGACAGGAAATATTGTGGACAGCCTGGCATATACAATTCATTTGTACTCTTATATTCAAAAACTAGGATGCCATTAAATTACTTCAGATAATAAGCTCTCCCTTTAGCTTTGGTCACTGCAGCAGTCTAGCTCTTCCCTTGACTTCTGGAATGCCACTCAACTGGGTTCCAATAAGTACTGTTTACTGCTGCTCAGTTTATCCCATTTGAATATAACCTGTCATGCTAATCTTTACTTAAGCTTACTTGTTTAAATATAGAACTGACTTCACCTGGCAGTAAATTAAAGGTCAGGAAAGAATGGTGCCATTTTACCTATCCAGCCTTGTATTCGGTTATCCCTTTGTAGGTATCATATCTTGGCCAAACTTGAAAATTCCAAGCATCTTTTAGTTTTAAAAGGATTCCACTAAATGTTTAATCTTATTAAAAAGTGAGTTCAGAATCTTTACTTCGGTCATTTGCAAATGTATCAAAGCCCCCACTCCACTACTCTACTCACTCTTCTAATTTTCCTTAGTTTCTTTGCTGCTAGGCTATTAAGTTCCAATGAAAAATATCTTGTTGGTTGAAATATTTGATCTTGAGTAGATGAACATTAAGGCATGACAAAGTTTGGATTTTTAGTAATTAATTTACTCTTAGGAATTGGCTTGAGTATTGGATAAACATATTTCAAGGTTTTGAGGAAATGGAATGCCTGAATAAACAAATTTAATTAAAACTCATTTGCATTCATTCCAAATCCATCCACATGAACTAACTAGTCATTAGGTAAAAGGGCCTAAAGTTAAGAAAATTACAGGATTAACATGGCATATTTTCCCAGTGGATCAGTTTTACTTGTTCACTTTAAGATTCACACCCCAAACACAATACAATAGAATTAAAATCAGCATTCTCATTTTAAAGGTAGAACATGTGGCTTTACTGAAACTTGGTGCTTGTTCTGTCTGGCTTTTAAACTTTATTTTGTAACTCATGGTAATTTTAGTGGGAAAGATTGAGGGCTATTCTTTTTTAGCAATCACCAGCTCAAAAGTATGTGAGCTATTTGTGTAAATTACAAAATATTATCATATATTAAAGCTTCTTTCAACCCAAATTAAGATGACAAATCTAGATGCTTATTTTCTGTGATGATTCTCTTGACCAGCCCTCTATGAACTTGCCAAGAGCTCAGTTATAATTTAGACATGTCATTGTTAACTAATATATACTTTTCTGTTTTTCTAATATGCTCCTGTTGAGATGAACAAGAACAAACATAGGAAACTGGAATTTTAATCCAGCCAGTCTCTTTAAATTATATGCTTCCCTGTTGTTTCCGTGTGCTTCAAGTCATTTCAAACTAAAGCATTTTATTTTATACCCAGGCTGTCATGGCAACCCCAAGATGCCTTTTTAAAATGCAAATTCATCACAGTACAACATGAAATCTTTAGTAGGTTATCACAAAACCTTTGCTTTTCTGTTCCAGTTATGATTTAATTTATATTTCTCTTCTTAATAAAAAGAGTGGAATGTATAACACTTATGGGGAAAATTACAATGTTATTTAAAGCAATACCTTAGGAAGATCATTTTTTCCTTTTAACAAGACTGATGTGCTACAAGTAGAATTTTCTAAAATAGTCAGAGGATGTCAAGACTTCACAAACTCCTTTTTAATGTAATACATTGTAAAATAAGAGTATGCAAGGAGATTTAGTCATTAGAATCGTTACTCTGAAAATAATGCAACTCTTCTTCACAATTTATAGATTTCTATTTTGAATTAAGCTATGACCTCAAACTGATAATCTGAATCTTTAGTTTCTTTAATGCAAAAGATTACACGTTATCTTTTATACTGTTTTCAGACAATGAATTGTTAAGTGGCAATAGATTTTGTTACATGAGTTTTAGGAGTTGAAGTTTTATATATATGTGTGTATATGTGTACATATATATGTGTATATATGTGTACATATATATATATATATATATATATATATATTGTGTTATTGGGGTTTGAACTCAGGGCATCACACTTGCTAGGCAGATGTTCTTACTGCTTGGGCCATTCCGCCAGCAGGAGATTATTTTTAGATTGTATTATTTTAGAGCTTAGCATTTGAAAGGAAGGAGTACACCCAAGACAGAGGTGGGGCTGCTAGATGTCTTATGTGGTGACCTTTGTACAGTCACAAAGGACCTGCCTTTGTCTCTTCAAAACTGGTGGTTTGAAAAGATACCAGTGAAAGCTGTACTGGTTTTGCTTTGTATTTTCACAGAAAATCTTACAACAGTTTAGAACACCATATCCATAAATTCTTTGTCTAACTTTTAGCTGTTAAATTTCTAAAGAATCTACCTTTCTCTAAACTTTGTTATTCTTTTTAATGTGACATGTCTATCAACAAGCCATGTCTGTCTTTCTCTCACTTAATGTCTTCATTTTTTAACTCACAGCAATAATAAAAACCTCAGCTTTATTTTAATATCTAATGTAAGAATAGTCTTATTTACCTTAATTCTATATCCCATTTTCATGTTGCTTTTCCTAGTACCATTTGTAAATAAAATTTTATAAATTACTTCATCATGCTTCTTTTGTAACATATGAAGGTATTGAGTGTCTGAGAAATAATTAGGCTTGTAAAAGCAAGACAGGAATCCATAGTTCTTTACTCCATAATCATTCAAGTCCCTTCTACATATTGCTATTTGTATAGACATATAACACAAATTTATTAGTTTTTTTGTTATCTTTCATGTGGTGGGTATACTTACAAATTTTAAGTTATATTCTTGTATTTCTATTTTTTTTTAGCTTATGAGAAAAGAGAAAAGTTAAAACATTTAAAAATACACATTTTTTAAAAATGCACAGTTTTTATTGGAAAAAAAGAATGTTGAATGACATGGTCAAATTCCTATAGGTTTTACAAAATTAATTGTTTCTCTGTGACTGAACAAACAATTTATAAGTTATTCTAAATTCTTAGTGAGTCACTATGTCAGTATTTCAGATAAAGCAGTAATTATTTAATAACTATGACTGTTACATAGAATAAAACAGTTTTGGAGTGGGGGATGTTGAGCATGTGTGAGGCCTTGATTTGATTCCTTACATCACAAAGAAAAAATAAAGTTAAAGAAGCACACCTGTAATTCTAGCACTTTGAATTGGAGGAAGGAAGATTGAGCATTCAAGTTCATCCTGGTCAACATTAAAGTTTCCAGGACATTCTGGGTTATTTGGCAAAACTCTATAATAAGTAAGTTATAAATAAGTAAATAAGTAACAAATAAGTAAATAAGGAATAATTAAATAAATAAATAGAATAACAGAGTTTAATTTAATTAATTTAGTTAAACTAAATTAATACTTTAAAATCTAAATTTCTTTATAGCTCAATAACCCAAAAATTATGTGTACTGGGAGATAATTTAGATTTGGAAAACCTTCTGATACTTTTGATATTTCCTAAACAAAATTTGGTATTTATCAGAATAATATGAGAATGTTTTGAATAGCAAATCTTGACCACTCTTTAAAAAAAATCTTTGCACATTATCTACTCCTAATATTATGCAGGAAACAACTATAAGGAAAGAAAAACAAATCAGAAGGATTTAAACCCTATACCTATTATTACTAATGTCTTTCCCTTTTTGTTTTAAAATAAAGGCGGAAATATATGTACAGCTGATGAATTCCTTTGCAATAATTCCCTTTGCAAACTGCACTTCTGGGTGTGCGATGGAGCAGACGACTGTGGAGACAATTCTGATGAAGCCCCTGATCTGTGTGGTAAGGACCCCACTTGGCTCAGATTGTAGACCATCTCCTGATTCAATGTACTTTGTGAATCAATGAACCACAGACTCTACCACCCTGGGGTTAGGTAAATAAAACACAACCAGTTACAGCTTTTGTCCAGGTAATAAAGAGATTACCTTGTTCAAAGTTCATGTCTTTCTAGAAGGCCATCCTAAATCTAAACCTGAGAGTGTCAGCACAATTCCAGGGATAGATTATGGTCTGTTTGGAAGAATTTAGTGTAGTTGACATTTTGAATTGAATAAGGTACACAGAAGGATTTTGGCTTTCCACCAGATTGATGTTTTAGGCTAAGCAATTTTAACAGATAAATAAATTGCAAAAAATATGAATGGTAAGAACATGATGGGAGAGCGGGATGATGTAGGGGGTGAATTCAGATATGATGTATTCTTAGAACTTCTGTAAAGTTCACAATGTACTCCTGGTAAAACAGTGCTAAAAATTAATTAATTAAAAAAAGATATAAAATTAAAAAAGATCACATTACAATTCACAAGTCACCCTTTACTGAAGTTGTTCAGGGAAGAAATTAGATGTCTCTCTCCATATGTGTATATATATATATGCATATATATAAATATATGTGTGTGTGTGTGAAAAAAACAAGACTCTACTATATGTGTGTATTTGTGTGTGTGTGTGTGTGTGTGTGTGTGTGTGTATAATCACAAATGTTAGGCAGAATAGGAGATATTTAACATTTAAATATAAAAATGTTAACAAAAATAATTAATTCTCCAAATTCAAGTTACCCTTGAGTGATATTTATTAGGTGCATATTTTTGTGATGAAAAAAATGTATAATTTGAGAACACTAAAATAATGGATTTTGATTACTAATGTTACAGTTGGAAACAATACAAAGCAGAAGGCAGCTTTATACTTAAAGTTGTTTGAGAGGAAGAAGACAAACTTTTGGATAATTTTCCTAGAGGTAATACTGAAGGTTGAAGTGAATAACTTTTCTTGGTATTATGTTAACAGACTCTAGAAAACTACAAGAGATAATATTCGTTTTGAATCATAAATCAAAAAATGTGAGCAGGTATCTGCCAATAACAACTAGAATCTGTTGTTTTTATCAATTGTGCATTTTCTTTTCTTTCTTTACTCCACTTCACCAAAAAAAAAAAAAAAAAAAAAAAAAAAAAAAAACAGTGAATGGAATTGGAAACGGTTTGTAATTGACATGGTAGGGCTGCAGAGTCATATCCTTCAGGGCCATTTCAAGTGCCAGGAAGTTTTACTTAGGGGCCTACCACATAGCCAGCTCACCTGGAAAACCTTGCAAATGCTAGCTGAAATTTTTACATTCCTCTTAACATCAATATTAAGTCAAGCTATTCTGTGCCATAGAATATGCTAAGTAATCAGGATTAAAATGAAAGGGACACGATTCCTTTTAGATAAGGAGATTACACATTGTATTTCAAGCGATAATAGAATTAAGTAAAAACTACAGATAAGGTAGAGAAGGTTAATATGGAATTCAGAAAGCTAAAATTCTGTGGAATATAGGCTAAATGACACCATAAGTAAAGTGAATAACAATGACAAAGTATCATTCATTCATTCATTTAAAAAATATTTACTATGACGGGGATGTAGCTCAAGTCACAGAGCATTTGTTTAGTAAGCGTGAAACCCTGAGTTCAAACTTCCGTACCACTGCCCAAGAAATTGCTAACCTGGAGACTGAGATCTGAGAAAGATATGGAATGTAGTGATGAGAGAAAGAGATATGGACTACAATCTCACAAATTTAATGATCATAAAAATATACATAAGTGAAAACTATGATCCCTGCTGTGAAGTAAAAGCATAGTAAGTTATGCATGTATAGGACTAAGGAATTTTTTCAATCTTGGAATATGAAAAATAACCTGTGAATTTCAGTCTGTTTCAGTCAGTTTTCTATGTTCACATGGGCCATATGAATTGGGCTATGACATGTTGTAGACAAAAGAAATAAGAATTAGAAGGCCCTGAAGCAGAGCAAACTTAATAGAGGAACTCATGTTCCCAAAAATACACAGGAAAGTAAATATTGGTTTAGCGTGTAACTGAAGATACAGTAGAAATATCTAGAATCATGTGAGCTTTGGAAAATGATTTGCAGATTTAGAATGAATGCATTTGAAAAGAGAGGCAGACCTCCAAATCCATACTGCTCAGATCTGTCTATTCAGTCAACTGCTTATAGAAAACATTACAAAATTGTACTGAACAGACTTTCCTTGTCATTGTTCCCTAAGTGTTATAGTACAACAGCCATTGTTGTAACATTTAGTTACTACAAGTAATTTAGAGATAATTTAAATATATAGGAGGATGTGAGCAAGTTCTATGCAAATACTGCTCCATTTTGTATGTGGTGGTTTGAGCATCTTCAGATTTTGCTATTTGCAGGTGTCTGGGAATCAATGTTCCATGAAACCTGGAGATGACAATAATAAAGCAGACTCATCTCTATATAAGCAAGGAAGGCACATGACCATATTTTACAAATGTTGGCTCAAAAGAGGCAAAGACAGTGAGCATTTCCTCAGTACTCTATGCAAGCTGTGCTAGCAGCTTGGATTACAATGATGAAGACATATGAAGGTAAAATAGAGACAGATTTGAAGATGCAAAAGATCAAGTAAATCAGATTACATAATATATTGCAAATTGAGGGTGAGAGAGTGAATGTTGTTGAGTGTAACTTGTAGGGTGCTTTTGTTTGCATATTTGAGAGAAAGGGGGATTTAGAAGAGGAATGGTTTTACAAGTGAAGATTAGATGACTGCCTGGGGATGGACTTAAGGAGATAAAAAGTAAAGATTTCAAGGTGGCATTAGAGACTTGGTTCTTTGTCTCAAAGAAAAGAGATGGTCTACATAATGTAAACTTGACAATCTGAATAAATAAAATATAAGTACTAAGGATTTTTAAAGATTATGCAAGGTGGGAGTAAATTATTCAACAACACAGGATTTAGGAAAGATTTTAAGTGACACTAAACATCTAAATGAATATGAGTTGTCAGAAGAAAATCAGGTCAGTAATTGTAAAAGAATGAGCTACTAAAATCAAAATAAATAAATAAGAGTGTGACAACGAGACTAGATATAACATATTACAAGAAAGATGGGATGGATCCTGAGGAGGCAAGGGGAAAAATGAGTTGCAAAGAAGTTTGAAAAATTACTTTTAAATAAGAGTTATCCTTCCATTCCTGATATTTAAAATATTGAAATTAGTTGATAGATCATGTGTAGATATAAGTACATCTGCAATTGTTGCAAAAAGTGACCAGGAATTTTCCAATTTTTAAAGTTTCTTTTGTATATGTGTAGTGGGAAATACATTCATTTATAGAGGATGGAATTTGGTGTATGGAGGCTTGGAAGAAGTGCAAATTTGAATCAATTTCACTAAAGGTAGGAGAGTGTCATGACTACAGAGGTATACAGTCTTTCCAAGTGGCACTGGTAAATACTCATACTGGGTGACATTAGTTGGTCTCATATTGTGATCATCTGAAATATTATTGGACTATCCAGAAGCAGATACTGGGGGAGCAAATGGTTTTATTCATTTGGGCTTAGGGTTTCTTTTAGGTAATGAAGATGGAAAAGAGAAAGGGCCAGAAAAAATCAAGTTATTGGAAAGAATATGAATTTCTAAAAAGGAACATGAGACAGTATTCAATAAAATGTAGGTTAACAATAAAAAAGGGAGGAGAACGAAGACAAAAAAAGAAAAATTGGTGAATAAAAAAAGGTAGACAGGTCAATGGACTAGAGTTGAAGATAAAACTGAAGGATTATAATGAACAGGTTAAATTAAAATCTTTAAATGTAAGAGCTTGTGATCAAAATTTGGGGCATTCATATTAATAGTTTGTAAATGATGTTATTGTAAGAAGTGACAAATCAAGCCTGCAATAATATGCGTTAGTTAATGTTCTTATGTGTGAAAATAGGAAATGTTATTGCCTGAATCAAGAAGAGATTTGTTTTAATACACCAGTGTTCAAAATCCTGAAGAATGGTGACCTAGGAATATTAGTCTAGAAGAATTATTTATAAGAAATTCAAAGAACTAAGGAGGCCAGTTATTGATTGGTATGCTCCTGTGAATGCTAAAGCCATCTAGGATGCTGGGATGCATCTGAAAGGAGAATTAAAAAAATAATAAAACCTATGACAGAGGTGCTATGATAGACAGCCTTCAGTGCATTAGGGAAGAGGTGGTTTTCACAAGTTTGATGAAGAAATTGCAATGAGATACAGGTATGATTAAATTTTGGGTCTCAAAATAATATTTGGTTTTATTTTGTTTTTAAAACTAGTATGAAAAGCATAGAGTAATGAAGTTCTGCAAGTTATGGCTAGAAACTAAAATGTTTCAATCATGAGACAGTGTAAAGTTTCAACAAATTAAGAGATACTCCTAACTAACCTCAAAGGGAGCAAGTGTACTTGGAGAAAGAACCAGATTCCAGTTAACAAGGGTGGTCAATTAGGGACTGTAGCACATGTAAGGGAGCTTTGATAAAGTGTATTACTAGACTACTAAAACAGACAAGGGATAAATCTGTAGGAATGTTATAGAGAAGATAATAAAAAGTCTATAGGCCATGGAAAGTGTCTTAAATTGTACACTGAAGATCACTACAGAGGAGATATAAGATTGATATGTTGGACTGACCTCATGGCTTTTTAAAACATTTTTATTAGCATTAGTTGTGTACAGAAGATTCATTGTCACATTTCCTTATGTGGTAGTGATGTACCTTGGTTAAATCCATCCCCTCCATCATTCTCCCTCAACCCTTCCCCTCTACTTAAAATAATTTCAACACGTTTCATTGTTCTATTTTCTTACAAGTATGTAAAACACATTAACCACATTTTACCTTCTTTCATCCTCTTCATTTATCCTCCCCCTCCTATTACAACCTACCATGTAACAGAAACTGTTTTAATTCCTGTCTTTTCTTCTTCCTTCCTTCCTGCCTTCCTGCCTTCCTTCCTGCCTTTCTTCCATCTCTCTCTCTCTCCCTCTCCCTCTCTCTCTCTCTCCCCACTCTCTTTTTTTTTAGTGGGACTGGTTTGTGCACTGAAGACTTCATGTTTACAAAGCAGGCACACTACTGTTTGGGTCACACCTGCAGTCCATTTTGCTCTGGTTGTTTTGGAGATGGGGTGTTGAGAAATGTTTGTCTAGACTGGCCTCAATCTTAATCATCCCAATCTCTGTCTTTCATTTTTAAGATTATTCATTGTTCAAAGAGTTTTTGCCACAATGTTTCACCCATCAATATATTGTACTTTAATCAGGTTAACCTCCTCTGTTACTCCCCCTTCCCTCCACTGCCTATTAATGAAATTTTTTATCTCATTATTATTCATTCTCTGTTTCTCTCTCCTTTCTCGCCCTGGTCCTGTCAAATACTTCTAGTGTTACAAACATTGTCTATCTATCTATCTATCTATCTATCTATTATCTGTCCATCTATGTATCTATCTATCTTCTACAAATATATGCATACATTTATGTTTACATTTATCTTTTGGGCCTATCTTCCACATATGAAGAAAAATATGCAAAGGTAAGGCAGGTTCACAAAGACAAAACTCTCATGACTTATTGAGGAGCTAACAAAAGGAAATGAAACTGTAAGAGATAACAAAGAGCTAAAGTATTGTGACTATAACTGCTAAGGATGAACAGAAGAAGGTAAGTTTGGGGAAAATATCAACAAGAGGTGGTGACTATTAGGAGTTGAAAATCAATGATAGAAATGTCTTTAGAAATCTGTCTTTCACCTATGAAGTGCCAGTAAGTGAACTAAGGAAATGAGACAAAGCTAATTTTTGGGGAGAAGGGGTCAGAGGGAGATAAAAGTTGGGGATATAGGTGCATGGGAATTAATTAATGTGAATTGGAATATCTAAGCAACAGATTTAAGAATATGGACATCCAGCCACCAAGGACAGGCCCTGGAAGATTCCACATACACAGATAAAGAAAGAGTAGTGATAGGAGGGATAAAATTCCCTGGCTTCTCTCGCTCTCTCTCTCTCTCTCTCTCTCTCTCTCTTACACATACATACACATATATACAAACGATGCATACACACATATATACAATAAATAACATTAATTTATATGCTTCAAGAACATATCTAAACATTATTTAGAGTAAGAAACCCATATATAATAATGTTGAAATATCTTTTCCTGCACTCACTGACCTACATTCAATTTGAAGTCTGAAACAAATGCTTTCTCAATCTCTATGTTGTGTGAATTTGCTCCTTGAGATATCTAAATGTCCTGACATGTTGCGTAAATCACAGACATAAATTAATCTTGTACATCAAGTGGAGTCAGCTAAGATGAGGCATCTGGAAAGGAAAACATGAAGTTTGGCTTGCTTCCTTACTTCATTCAACATCTCAGCTGTGTTCTCTTCAGTAGTTAATATACATAACTTGAATCATTAAGCTTCTGTCAGCACATATTTTCTAGTATCCACTAGTAGGCATTTTTCACAATAAAAAATATTGAGAAAAGCTACATTATGAGTCTGAAAAGAAAAAAACAGAACAAAGAAAGACAAGTGTCTTCTTCATAAGTCAGTGTACCCAAAGGAGCTTCTTTGGTTTTTCTGTCTTTATTTTTTTCAGTCAAATTTCTTTGCCCACCCACAAGACCTCACAGATGCAGAAATAATAGAATCTGCCTGCAATCTGAGAAGCTGTGCAATGGGATTGATGACTGTGGTGACAACTCAGATGAAGATCACTGTAGTGGTAAATCTATTTAGTGAGAAATAAATTGATTTAGTAGCAAATACAAGACAAGACAATGATTTGAGAGCTTAAAATTATAGAAAAAAATTCCATGTGCCATGTCTGAAGATATTTTTTAAGGTACTTGATGTTCTGACAATGTATAAAAATAATCTACTGAGGTTTCATTTGCATAGCAGAGATGTGTGGCTTTATTCAGAGTCCATGCCAAGGGACTTTATTCCAGAAAATACTAGTCTAATAATGAAACAACTTGGTTTAAAAATGTTCCTTGTTAAGACAGTTGATTGTGGAGAGGGATTTATATGCATTGTATGAACACATAATCCTCTTTTCAAAATTAAGAGAGCCATATAGCTCCTATTACAAAGGATGTACTTCAGTGTTATGCAAAATGATTTGGAGACAAAACCTGACCTGAACTCACTTGATACAGCTTATGTCACTTAAAAAAAATCCCCACTCAGGGTGTTTGCGTACATTTTCTTATAGAGATGGGGTGTTATTTACAACAGAAAAAAAATAGTATTACTTTTATAAAACTCTATAATTTCAAAAATTTTTTCACTGTCTCAAGTGCTTAAAAAAAAGGATAGTATACCCGTGTTTTTCATATCATTTCAGGAAATTTTGTGCTCAGTAAATTAGTTCTGATATCATATGCACTAATCACCTTTACATTGGCTTTATAGGTAAGCTTATATATAAATCAAAGCCTTGTAAGAAGGACGAATTTGCTTGCAGTAACAAAAGGTGCATCCCCATGGACCTGCAGTGCGATGGGTTTGATGATTGTGGAGATGGTTCAGATGAGCAAGGCTGTGGAAAGAGTGAGTCTGATTTCTGCTAAACTAAAAAGAAACACACAAGGCCAACTGATGCTATTAAAGTGGTTTTACTACTGTGAGGACAGATTGCACTTCAAAACATGGTTAAGTTATGCCCTTCACCAAAGCAAAATCATTTAGTCTCATTTTTAGAAAGTATGAGGAGGAAGAGGTTGATTTTACAATGCATATCATTTTTAGAGCTGAAGATAAGAACTTGATATTTAATTTCAGACTTTTGTATCAGGAATGAAATCTAGTCTTTAGTATTTCATTTAAAAAATGTAAATTTATTTTTTAAAAATTTTACAAACAGGGATATTTGGTTAAATGATGGCAAAGGTCTAAATAATAAATGTTTAAAATTTTTTAATCCATTGTTTAGTTAATTTTAAAGAAGCCATTATTTCCTTCTGTTACACTGTTTTGAGTTCTTAGAACCTGACCATAATAATTTCATATTTAATACTTGATTTTCTATATAAAAAAAAAGGATTGTTGGACTCTAAATTGTGATAGCAAGTCAAAATATACTTCCTATATTTGAATCTTTATTTTTTCCTCATTTATTCATTTAAGTTCTTCTCACTGGGAGAGATAACATTGCCACTGGTATATTTTAATCAATTCAGGTTGTAATACACTTGTGCATGGAAGCAATGCTAGGAATCTCTCTGTATAGCAATCCTTAACTCAACTAGCAAAAATGCTACATCTTTCTTATTATTGCTTATGTCTTCTCTTCAACAAAATTAGAGGTAAGGGCAAAACAGGTTCTGCTGCCTGGAAGCGAGGTGGGAAGTGGGAAAGGGAGGGGGCAGGGGGCAGCAGGGAGAAAAGACCCAAACAATGTATGCACATAAGAATAAATAAATAAAGAAAAAAATAAATTAAAAATGAAAAAAAATATAAAATATTCACAAATGAGTGGGGAGTAATAATAGGTACAATTCTAATAACAAAAGTTCACATTTCTCAAAAATTTGACCTGTTTAATTTAGAGATTATACAATGTTATCTCGATAATAATATCCCTCTCACATTAGCATTCTAAAATGTTTTCATGAATGGAAGATAAAGCAATGAAATTAGAACTACTCAGCTGGAAATCACAAATAACTCTTACTCTGTCCTAATGGTGTTGCAACCTATGACCACAGGAACATATTACACACCCTAATGTTAATTCTCAAATGTGTATCTAGGCTAAGCATTTGAACAAACTGATGATTTAGACTGCTGGTTTAAATAACTTGATAGTTCCCTTGTATTGAATTCACAAATATTAAATGTAGATGGCACTAAATGCTCACATCTCTAGGTAGCTTCCAGGATATGTTCTGGTTCTTACAGAAGGATGTAGCACTCATAAATTGTGTCATTATGGAGATGGCCTGTCATCAGAATCATGGACTCGTTATTTCCTTTCAAAAAGTTTCAGGGCTTAACAACAGCCATAATATCAGCTGTTGGCAGCTTGCTCTAAACTATATTTAAGGTAAATGAGTTTAGGTTTTATCTGCTTCTGTACCTTTATTAGAAATTAGGGCTTAAATGTACAGAAGTCCATAATCTTATATATTTAGAAAGAATTATCCATGTAGTAATAAATGTTCCAAATTACAGAAAAACCCCTTCTGTTTCAAGAATCAGAGTTATATTACTTTTGATCACATTTTTAAATCCTAGCTCCCACTGAATATACCTGTGAAGATAATGTGAATCCATGTGGAGATGATGCATATTGTAATCAAATGAAAACATCTGTTTTCTGTCGCTGTAAGCCTGGATTTCAGAGAAACATGAAAAACAGACAGTGCGAAGGTAGAGTACATTTGCTCAACAGCTTGCTCTTAAATCTTTGGGTTATAAAAGACTCCCAAGGCTGTTAAGTTGTGAGATGACAGGGGATTGATTTTCATCAAAATAGTGTGTATCTATGGGATACCATTTCACTTATGAGAAGGAAAGTCTCTGGGGTCAAGAGCCCGTTTGTTTGGATAGCTAAGCTAGTCTCACTAAGACTACAATATATTTTCTGTAGCAAATTCGTACCTGCAGGAATTTCAATTATGTTGCACAAATTCTGTTTTGAAATGCAAATAATGAAATTTCTTGCTCAGGAACTATTGGAGAATTAGACCCACTTCATGAAAGAAAATGTTTATGCTGACCCATTTCTCTTCAGTGTAGCATTTGTTATGCTGTAATGGCTAATTCACATTTAGAAATTGTAAGCTTTTGTCTTAACACCATGCTCTAAACAGTTCTTTATATTATGATGTATCTGTAAATATTCAAACTCCAGATCTAAATGAATCTCTGACAACTTGCCTTAGATCATTTAAAGATTAAGCCTGCAAGATAGACAGAACCTCATAGTATATTTTATACAGGTAAAATTTACATCAGGGCTTTTGATATAGACTCCTAACTAGAGACTTTCATGTACTTTCTCCAAGTTTCTCCATAAAACTAACGTTTGTATTTATATTTACCTGTTATTGTGATTAGGCTTGAAATCAAAATATCTGCCTGGCTTACCCGTGGTAAATACAAGTCCTAAAACACTTTCTAGCTTGTTTTTTTGCTCTCTTTATGAGATTTTTGGTTAAAAACAATTCTATACTTTGTCAGTCGATATGAAATTATTGAAATTAATTAATTATGCTAACCTCAAAGGCAAATATACATAACTATATTATATTCATATATATTTTGAATTATTCATGAAATTTTATTTCTCCATTAGCATGGGAAATTGAATGCTGACCAAAATATTCTCTTTTAATGAAAAACAAAATATTTCTTCTTTCCCAGACTTTTTCTGTTAATTGTATCTGATCACATAAGTACATACACACAAACTCTTCAAAATTCTGATCCTGACAAAATTGATTTTCTAAAATTTATTTAGGAACATTGAGCTCTTTTTCAACTATTTAAAAGTGGAACTTAGTAAGTTTAAAATTTTCTGTTCTCAAAATTTTCTATAGTTTAATTATATTCCATAGGATATATAACTGTAAGCTACATTTTTTCATTTTAAACTGGTATGAATTCACTGCTTATATATATATTACTATATATTTCTATTGTGTATATTAGTAACATCTGAACACTAATTAAATTTGCACCTACAATAAAGATTCCACAGTAAAGATAGTCATTTTGATTTAACATGGAGGTAGAGAAAGACATTACCTAGATTTTGTAACCTAATTTGTGAGTGCCCTTCATTTATTTGTCTCAAAAAGAAAAACTTAAGAAACTATTTGATATTAAACTCAAAACACTTTAATTGAAATAACCAAAGGGAAGAAATATAAAAAAAAATGGCAGAAGAGTAGTAGAAAGGGATTAGCAGTTACCAGGTGCCAGGTGCTTTTCTTGTTACTGCGCATTTGTGGGATTACTTTAGCTTCTTCAAAAGGCCAGGATCAAAGCCTCATTGAACAGATGAGGACAAAACTGATGATGCTGGCTGTTATGAGGCTATGTGGGCGAGCTGAGATTCTATGAAGTTATGCAGACTTTTGTAGAATTTTAATCCACACCAAATGTAAGCTATAGTAAAAACGATCTCCCGTTTCAAAACTTTATATACTAAACAAAATAAAAATATTTGTTGTAGTTTTGATGGTTCAGTGTTGATAAGATTCATTTTATTCTATCCCTGAATAATCTTCACTAAAGACAAGTAAATGCACTTTACTTTATCTCTGTGTCCTTTTAAAATCAAACACATTCATTAATTGTCATTAGAATACTTAGGTTCCCCATGGGTGAGGTGTCATAGATAAGACAACAAAATTAGAAAACCTGATTTTAAACCTCAACATTGCCATTTACATTTTCACTGAAAAGGTTCATACTGAGCAACTGAAACATCATTGAGTGTTTTATTGTTGTTGCTTTGGGGGTTTTGTTTTGTTTTATATTATTTTTAGTTTTTTGGTATTGAGTTTAAGATCAGAGCCTCAGGTTTGCTAGGCAGGCACTCTACCATTTGAGTCAAGCGCCAGCCTCATTTTTCCTTTAATTATTTTTTGAATAGGGTATTGCATTTATGCCCCAGGGCCAGCCAGGAACTGTGATCCTCCCAATCTCTCCCTCCCTAATAGCTGGGACTATAGATGTAAATTACTAGGCCCTGTTGAGTGTTAAAGAAAAGATAGTAATTACTACTCGGTTGTTTATTACATTCTCTAATTTTAGGCAACGATTTATCTCACAGATTTATTGCATAATTATGGCAACTATGAAAGAGGTAAAGAAGTATGCTGGATCAGAGGAAAAGTACTTACCTTTGCATAGTTGCTTCATATATACGAACCCAGAAATGTATTAGAGGTGCCTACACATCATTCTCTGCCATTGTACAATATGTGGCAGTAAAAATGAGAGCATCATAGTTTATACCCTCAAGGGACTGGCAATCAAGGCAGAGATATGAATCTAGAAGCATGTTTCTGAAATACCACATGAGCAATGCTGTAAGCGAGAGACAATAGGAGAGCAAACAAGAGTGAAGCCAAGAGACAGGTCATCACTCATACACATTGATAGAGACCAAGGAAAGCTTCACTCCAGGTGCATCTTGAGAAAGTAGCAGAAATTCTGTATTTAAACATGGGCAAGGATATTATAGGATTGAGGAACAGAAGAAAACAAGTGCAAAGGTAGGAGGTAGATAATCAGAAATTATCTTAAAAGGAAACTTAGAATGGTATTTATTAGGGTGAATAAAAATAGTAGGAAAATTTGAAATGGATATTTTAAGATTTGAAGTGGACCAATAAGCAATGTAGAAATATAATAAATTTTACAGTGTGAGACTATTATAAAAAATGATTATAGCATACAAAATATTACACAGTAAGTCACAGACTTAAGATTTTAAAGGACAGATTTTAAAGATTTTAAAGAAATAGAAGGAAAAGGTTAAAGAAAGAAAAACTTCTGGGTTTTTCTGAAATGAGTAGAAGTGTGAATTGGAATCACAATGATGCTATTCTGAGCTCTTTTTTTCTAGATCTTAATGAATGTTTGGTGTTTGGCACATGTTCCCATCAATGTATAAATATGGAAGGATCATATAAATGTGTGTGTGATCAGAATTTTCAGGAAAGAAATAATACCTGTATAGCAAAAGGTAAGGTTATCATCATTATTACAAAGAGTGTTATAATTTTGTTATACATGTCTTACGGGACAAAAGATGTTACATAATGCATTTTGGCAATAGCTTCATTTCCAATAATATAAAATAATATATTATAATGTTAATTAGTGTATCTGCTTGATTTATTTTTTAAAAATAAATTTTAATTTCACATACAATAATTGTACATATTTTGGGGGTACAGTGTAACCGTTTAGTGCATATTTGTACTCAATGTACAAATGCAATGCATTTCCATCTCTTTAAATATTTATCATTTGTATTGGAAACCTTCAAACTCCCTTCTCTTGGTTCTTTATAAAGAAGGTAATACATTGTTATAACTTATAGAAACTATGCTGTGTGATAGAATACCAGAACTTATTCCAACTTTTTATCTTAAATATAAAAATAAATATTTTAAGAATGATATGGTTTATAGAAATGGTTGACAAATATACAGATAGTGTTCAAATCCATTGTGTTTGAAACAATTTGGCAAAAACATTAAAAGTTTAAAAGTCAGTTTGATATCAGAATACAAGGTATTTATGGTCTACTTTGGATATTTGAGAAATTATTACACTACTGGATAAAAAAGGTTAGCATTATATGGAGCATATAACTTGAATAGGGATTTTTAAAAGTTTAAGAAAAATCTTACTTACAAATTCATGTTGCTTTGTTTTTAATTAAATGATCAACTTGGGTTTTAGGTTTTTATACAAGTGGATTGTAATGTATTTTTACTAAATAATATTGTACTTTCAATGTTGTTAGCTACTGAGTATGACTAACATCATTAATAAGATTTTTGTTATATGAGAAAAACAGTATGATGTCATAAAAATAGAGATATACCTAAATTTGAGTCCTTGAAAGAAATCATTAAATTCTTTGAGCCACAGTTCTTCTGTGAAATAGGATACTAATATCTATATTCCATGATTGTTGTGAGAAATAGAAATAAGTACATGCTAAACATTCACTGAGTGAGAAATATTAAGATTAATATACTTGAACTAAGGTCTGAACTACATCCCACTGTGCATTGTTGTTATTTATTTATTTTTATTCAGAAACTACGTGAAATTTATTTTTAGGTTTCATTAATATTTTAATTAATATTTTCAGAATTCACTTAAGGGTTTTACTTTTCAGTCAGTATGAAAATGATATTAGTACTGTGTGGTGGATGTCACAACTTTAGGCTACAGTGTTCCACTTAGAAGGATTTTAAACTATGTAGAAATTATGGAACTTTAATGTGTCGAGGGTTTGTTCCCTGCCACTAAAATAAAAGAAATCTTAAAAATAAAAGTTTAAGCATACCAATGCAGGAAGGATACCCTTCACATCTTAACTTTCATTTCTTAGCCTAAAGAAACAATCACTTAGGTTCATAAGTTAAATGCTTAGAAACTTTTGAGGTTTAATGACAACACAAAATAGCCAGTGAATATTGAGAATTAAACATTAGAACATACGTATTGTGACTTACCAACAGTGATCCTTTGTCATAAACAAGAGTATATTTTACAAATATCTAATTTCTACCCATAAGGTAAATTTTTAGAAGAAAAACCTAAATAAGTAACCAGTATAAGCGTTTAGAAAAGGGAGCATAGAAAAAAGTCAAAAGTCATGAAGATGGAAAGATGGTGGTGTAGACTTGGTTGAGTTTTATTATGGAAGAAACTATATTAAAAATAAAAATTCAAGATTATTTAAATATACATCATTGCTTTTACTTTGGTTGAAATTCATTTTATTTTTGTATTTTATTGTAATAATCTCCAGGCTCTGAAGATCAAGTTCTCTACATTGCTAATGACACTGATATCCTGGGTTTTATATATCCATTCAACTACAGTGGCGATCATCAACAAATTTCTCATATTGAACATAATTCAAGGATAACAGGGATGGATGTATATTATCAAAGAGATATGATTATTTGGAGTACTCAGTTTAATCCAGGAGGAATTTTCTACAAAAAGATCCAAAGCAGAGAAAAAAGGCAAGCGAACAGTGGCTTGATTGTAAGTAAATCACACTTAATATTTAAGGGTCATATCTTCCCACACCTTGCTTTAAAGAAATCACATTACTTTATCATAGGAATTGAAATATTCAGTCATTCCATCCAATATTCTCTCCATACAGAAATAAAACATTTTTTTGTTTATTCTTATGGAAGCACGTAATTGATTTAAGTAGTACAATTTTATGTTTTTATTTTAATGCATTTGCCCTAGGTATAAGAATGATAATGAATGATAGCTAACATTTCTTGAACATTTTTTGTTTCATATATATAATACATATATATTCTGAACAGAAGCATTTTTTTTGTTATGAGAAGGTAAAACTCACTTTATTTTTTTGTGTTAGAAACTGATGGAATACAGGGAAAATTGTTTCAATTTTAACAATATCGGAAATGCACTTCTATTCTAGGGCAGGAGATTTTCACTAGAGTAACTCTTTCTTCCTTTTCCTGATAATTATATTTGAGGGAACATCCAAAACAGCAATATTGCTTGTTGATGTATGACAGGAATGTTGATCGTCATGGTTTTTCTTTTTGAGAAAAGAAAAAACTAGAACATTTGTTTAGATTTGTGGTTTTAGACTCTACCTTTTTGCTTTCGGGCATGTCAAGTTACTGTGTATTTTTTTTTAAGTAACCTGGGGGGAAAATGACAGATAAATACTTATTTTTGAGGATCCTGATCTATTCCCACAAAACCACAAAATCAAGTACTTCGACAGCATGATGTGAAGAAGGTTTATATTTAAAAAGAATCAGAGGTACCTGCCAGGAAGTCCTCACTGGTTTTTGTACTGGAATCTGCCATAAACATTAAAACCACATAAATGCCATTTGATGCAAATCTGAAGCATATTTAATTCTCTGTATTAGAATCAATAAACTGGTTTGTAAAGAAGCCAAATGACTTGCAAAGAGCACAAATAAAATTAGTTATTGAATTTAGACTTAGATTAAAGTAACCATTAACAAAAATTCATATATACTTGAGTTGTTTCTTCAAATCTTCCTGTCCCAAACACAGTATTACATGACAGTTTTACTGCTTTAGGACAGAGCCAACTAATCTCCTTTCTCTCTGTCTGACTAAAAGATGGACTCAAGAGTTGTGGCTAGCATTAAATTTATCTCTAACATAGACATCTCCTTTGCAAAAACATTGTGCTTATGGCACCATTTTATTTGTTGTTGATGATAGGATAAAGATAATATACTGTGAATTACACTGGCTGGGTTTGAATTTTGTTCATGTCCCCTCCTAGCCTTTTAGATTTCTCTGTACTATTTCATGAGGTGTTATTGGGAAGTAAAAACTATGTAATATACATGTATATTATATATATATATACACATATATACATACACATATATGCAATGAAATGCATTCAAATATAATTGCCATAGATTACATATAATATAATGTTCAGTGTTTAATGCCACAGAAACTAAATTATATAGATCTCTGCTATTAACAATAAAATTATTCTGTTGATGGTGTTGATGAAAATAACTAGAAAGGTGATTTCTTTGCATATTATCACATTAAAATTACTTGCAACCTACAAGTGTTCATTTTATACTTGGTAAAATTATACATTCCTTTAAATAATCTTGATGTAATTGTCAGTGGAAGTAACTTTTATTTAGTTTTGGCCATGGGGAAGTTCATGTATATAACCAGTATCCTCTAATGAGCAGAATTTACTAGGTCAGAAGACAAATTCATTTAATATTTGATAGCTAAGTTTTTATGCCCAAACATACATATATATATATATATATATATATATATATATATATATGTACACACACAGTATGTCTTTCACATATGTAATAAACATTTATTTATTCATATACATTTCCACTTCTTAATTTCATTATAGGATGTTTCTAATCAATGCACAGCTATTTAGTAGTCTTTTTAAAATGGGAAATGAAATTTACTTTTTAATGATAGTGATGACTGTGTTGTATCATCTGGACTTTTTTCCCCCACTCTTTCCTTAGATCTACCATGACTAACAGCATTCACTGTAGGAGCATATTTTCTACTGGAGTCCATTATAACTGACTAAATGTCATGATTGTATAGTTTGAACCTCATGAGTTTTAGCATGATGCTAAGGAAAATTACATAGAAATTTCAGTTAATACATTGTTAAAACTATATTTGAAGGCTACATTGATAAAGGCACATTTTTAACTTTGCTCCCTAAGTAATTTGTAATCCAGGTATCTCAATGTGCATAGACAGAATAAAACTATTCTTATGATTTTAATTTAATGAGCAATGTGAATTCTAGAGCAATTAACTTGAGAAACATGTCCATCTCTTGGTCTCAGACTACTTATCTAAAAAGCAACAGCAATTTTGAAGTAAGCAATTTCTAAAATCCCTTCCAGAGAATAAATGTACTTTACTCCCAAAAGATGTCTAACATATTATATATATATGTATATACACAATTATTACCTGAGCAGTTTGTATTTACTCCTCTGAAATCCTTTTTGTATAAAGAGAATTGATTTTCTATCCTTATGAATAACTGAGCACTGTACAGCATATGCTCTTCTGACTGTCACCAGCTAATCAACAATTAATGTAATGAGCAAGCAATCTATTTGTCTATTTGAGACACAAATATTAAATGATACTGTGACTTCTCAACTCCTTGTAAAATAAAACTCAAGATCTTTTTCCTAGGCAGATTACAACATATTAAAAATTATTATTTCTGAACCAATAGGCAAAGGACAGATAAATAGACAAATTAAACTATGGATCCATTAGTTATAACCTCTTTCATTACTAATGATAGAAATGAAAGGAGTTAGCCATGTGGTAACAAGATATCTTAAAAGCAGATTTACAGATATTAAAAGTATTAGAATATTTTTATCCCTATAAAGGACAAGTAATATGTTGTACTAGTAATCAGAAGAATACTATTCAGAAAACTAAATGTTAACTGAAGTCCATTCCAAAAAGATAGAAATTTTTAATATCTTCTTTTGAAATTGTGAAGGAATACTCTTCTGTAATCTATGAAAATGTTGGAATACTAATTTTCATAAAAATGTTAATTTCAAATGCAGACTAAGTTATTTATAATTAGAAATAGTTCTGATTTCCTAACCCCCTGGGCCATACAAAATGTATAGATTTTTTTATCCTTTAAGAAAATTAAATAATTTAAAACTTAAAAGACTGACATGATCCAATGTATATGAGAAGCATAATAAGATTTCTAGATTTAAATTATAGTATTCAGACAGAATATGATGACATTATGCAACAATTGTACATACTTTCTGGCAATTTGTCATTTCTAGTAAGAAATGCTGTACAGGAAATTTCATGATGGCAAGCACTATAAAGTAAGTCAATGTTTGGAAAAATGCAAATAACTATAAAAGCATAGATTAGATTTTTACCATTAAAGAGCTAAGTATTTCTAAGCAAAAAAATGCTCAGGTTCACCTGAACTATTTGATTTTGAAATGTGAATAGGCTTTCTAGCATATTTTCTTATGCAAAAGAGAATGTTCACATGGAGCATACATATAATTTTATTCATTAATAATCATTCCTTTTCCTCAAAATTTGATTAGGCAATTTTTTTCCTGAAAAACTATTAGCAAAATATCTTATTGTGTTATCCTTAATAAATTTTGATTCTTAATTAAAGTCCAGATTGTAAGTTTTACACTCAGTATATGAGAGAATGTATATATTAGGCATAAACACACAGGGCATATCTATGCCCCGGCACCAACAAATGTGTGGGGTGTGTGTGTGTGTGTGTGTGTGTGTGTGTGTGTGTGTATACAGATTTCAGAAAACACTTCAAAATCTTGTGTTGGAACACAATACTCTATAAAATTTGACTCTAAAATTACTAATGCTAAGAAAATTATTTATCACACTGAATTGCACTTTAAGGTGAACTAGCCAAAGCGTCTAATTCAATCAAATCCAAGGGTTCAGTTAAGGTTTCCAGGTTGTTGTAGTTTTGGCTGCTGCGGTTTCCAGATTACAATCATAATAGCACAAATAGAATTTTGCTTTTCCTAAATTTGATTCTGGGAAGAAAGAGAAAGTAAATAAAACTTGTAAGTGAAGGAAGTACAAAAAAATTACAAATGTTGAAAAGTGCTTTTGAAGGAAATAAACAATAAATTAAGAAAGAAAAATTACAGGTTATAAGTTGCTTTTTGGGAAAAGGATGATTAGCAAAAGCAACATTTAAAGAGAAAAGATTTGAGCTAAAGAAAAGAATTGAGAAGGAAGTAAGCATTTTATGAATACCTACTTTTAAGGTAGAGAACGACTTTCAAGAGGAAAGGCATGCAACAAAAGAAAACACATAGAATGCCCACTGGGCTCCAAGTGAGAGGTTAGTGATTGGTGCACTGTGAAGTTTCAAAGGATTTGGAGGGAAGTGAGTGGAGGTTTTAACTCTAAAGATTTGCCAAGTTAGAAACAAATATGAGATGATTAATAGCAGAGACTCCAAATAATAGCTAGATTTCTGCATTATTACAACTTTTGAAAGATACTGACAATTGCAGGTTGCAGTTTGTAGGTCATATTAATCTAAGAAGGCTTAAGAGGTCCATGTGAGAGATCAAAGTAGTCTTGTGGTAACTTTTCAAGACTGATTCCTGCAACTCAGTTCTTGAGATTACACATTGAAGAACAGAAGAAGATAAGATATTTAAAACCAATGTAGCTCGGATTGGCCATTATTCAGGGTGAGGGAAACAGAGAGGAGACAAAGAACTGAAAACAAAACTCTAAAAATTAGATTAAAAATGAAACAAGTAGGGCCAGTGCATCAGGAGGAAAAAAAGGGCATACGTGGAGCTACAGAAACTGCAGAGAACTGTATCCTGAGAAAAGGAATTGGAATTTGTAACCTGTAAAAGTAAAGGAAGTGAGGATAAAGAAAGTGATTCAATAAATTGGAGGACCTTGAAGAATGGTTA